AGTAACTCTGTATGGTTTTCATTTGGTATCTAACTTGGCTTGTTATGTAGTACCAGAACGTAGACCAGTGACTTTTCAGCTCTTCTAGGGAAGGGATTGATGCATTTCCAAATGCTTATTGAATTACCTGGCCTTGAGCAATAGTAATGATCATTTTCCTCATGGCACATCCTAGTGCAAAAACATGTTAGAGAGATACCAACGTGTGATCGTCAATATGCTAATTTTTCTTCAACAGTATGTATTTAAAATTAATTCAGTGAGACAGGCAAGTTTTTCTACCAGTGTCCATCCCACAAAGCCTTTCCCCACAAACTTAATGTGAAAATGATCCTGTAGTTTCACTGGGAACAGCTCAAAGCCCTTAGAAAGTCTTTCTAGCTGTGTTTCTAACACCGGTACAATACTTTTTGCTGTTACCAAGAGAATTGGATTTAAATAACTGTCTGACTGTCTCTCCCTGCTAAAGCCTGGCAGACCTGCAGCTTGAATATCATTCAAGGTTCATTCCACTGGGGATAGAGCAGCTTTGGCTGCTAGCCTCAGATCTGTCCCTTTCTAGAAGATTTGCAGAGCAGCCAAATGGTATGTTTTGCACACATTTACAGAGTGCTGGGGCTTCAGTTTTAGCATCTAGACCGTAATTACAGTTTTTCATGTTACAAAATCAAATACTTCAGTACTTAGAACCATAGAAAATTAGGGTTGGAAGGGGCCTCAGGAGGTCATCTAATCCAACCCCCTGTTCAAAGGAGGACCAGTCTGTACGATATCATTAAGGCTGCTATTAAATCCTCTCTTCTCTTCTCTAAACTAAATAAGCCCAGTTCCCTCAGCTTCTCCTTGGAAGTCATGTGCCTCAGCCACCAAACCATTTTTGTTGCCCTCCACTGGACTCTCTCCAATTTGTTTACATCCTTTTTGTAATGGGGGACCCAAAACTGGACACAGTACAGTACTCCAGGTTTGGCCTCACCAGTGTGGAATAGAGGGGAAGAATAACTTCCCTCGATATGGTGGCAACGCTCCTACTAATGCAGCCCAGTATGCCATTAGCCTTCTTCACAACAAGGGCATACTGTTGACTCGTATTCATATTATTGTCTACTGTAACCCCCCAGTCCTTTTCTACAGAGCTGCTCCTTAGCCAGTCAGTCCCCAGCCTGTACCTGTGCACAGAATTGTTCCCTCCGAAGCGCAGTACTTTGCACTTGTCCTTACTGAATCTCATGAGATTTCTTTTGATCAGTCCTCCAATTTGTTGAGGTCTCTCTGAATCGTAGCCCTACCCTCCAGATATGTAGTACTGCTTGCAGCTTGATGTCATCTGCAAACTTGCTGAGGGTGCACTCCATCCCATGTTCCAGGAGATCGTTCATGAAGATGTTGAACCAAACCTGCCCAAGGACCGACACCTGGGTCACTCCACTTGATACCAGTTGCCAACCAGTAGACATCAAGCTATTGACTACTACCCTCTGAGCCCAGTGATCCAGCCAGTTTTCTATCCACTTTACAGTCCATTCATGCAACCAGTACTACTTTAGCTTGCTTACAAGAATGTTGTGTGAGAGCATACCAAAAGCCTTGCTAAAGTCAAGATATATCACTTCTTCTGGTCTCCCCGCATCCACAGAGCCAGTCATCTCATTATAGAAGGCAATCATGTTCGTGATTCACTTACCCTTGGTGAATCCATGCTGACTGTTCCTAATCACTTGGGATCCTGGTTTTCTCCATTTAAAATATTGCATAATCTCTGATTTTTAGAAAGGGGGGGGTCCCAAATTTTCTGATTAAAAACTCCCAAATCCATGTTTTTCCACAATTAAAATGAAATGCCATTATTTTTATTTATATATGGGGGTGGGTGGGTGTGTGTGTGTGTGTGTGTTTGAACACAATGGTTTTTTGATGTATTTAGTTTTAAAGCAGTTTGGAGGCCTACCATTGCCTCAATCATTATAATAAAATAAATTCTAAATACCTATATATTTTTACTTTTGATTTTGGTTTTTTTAATCATAGAAAAGCAGAGGTCCCTCTGCTCCCGTTCACTCATCAGGACATGGGTCCAGCTGCAGCTGCCTTCCCACCCTCTTCCTTTCTTCCCCCCCCGACTTTGTGGCTCTGAGCAACCCTGATATGCTGCTGTCCTGCCCCTGCTGTTGCCCCTCACTCCCCACCCATAGCCTTCTGAGCCCTGCCAGTACCTCTCACTTCCCTCTCACTTGGAGTTAGATGCTTCAGATCGTATGTGGAGAGAAAACAAGGCAGTATTTGTGATTAATACATTTAGGGAGTTCTGAATTATACATATATTGACTTCTATTTTGAGGAACAGCAAGATATACCATAGTTAAATGAATTAACTTAAGATGGCCTGCCCCCATGCCCTGAGTGCCCCTCACTCCCAACCCACAACCCCCTGGCCATGACAGTGCCCCTCACTGTCCACTCGTAGCCCCCCAACCCTACTGTTGCCCTGCACTCCTGGCCCACTGCCCCACATCCCTCCTAGACCTGTTGGTGCCCCTCACTCCCAACCCGCAGCCCCCCACCCCTCAGGTGCCCCTTACTCCCAACCCACAGTCCCCTGGCCCTGCCTGCAACCCATAGCAGCCTGCCCCTCTCCTAGCCCTGCTGGAGGGGGCACCCAGCTGCCAGGGCTACAGGGTCAGGGTCTGCAGCCCCTTGCCCCCAGCAGTGCCTGAGCCCTGGCTGCTACCCATGGGAGGCAGCGGCTGTTACAGCTGAAGTAGAGTGCAGAGCCTGGTTCCTCCTCCCCCTTGCAAGTGGCACAGCTGGAACAAAGCCCGAGTGGAAGGAGAATGTGGGCTGCGCGCTGCAGTCTCGGGGCTCCCTGTCCTGCTGCCCTCTCCCACAGGAGCCTCTGTGGCAGTGTGGCGGGCAGGCTTGGTGCAGCTACTGGGAGCCACATGCCAGGGCCAGGGTCTGCACTCCCATGCCTGGCAGCACCAGGGGTACAACTCCATGCAGCTATTTCTGGGCAGGCAGGGGTGCCTTGCCATGGCAGTGGGGCTGGCATGGAGCTCTTAGCAGCTGCTACTGTCTATTGGTACCTGGCTGCCATATGCGTGTGTGCGTGCGCACATGGAAGTGGTGCCCCCTGCCGCCGATCACCCTCTTCCCACTCTACCTAGTCCCAAGCAGCCCCTTGCAGGCTGGAACTCTGTCAGCCTGCAAGGGAAAACCCACTGTTCCTTGCTTTTTTCTCCTTTAAAGGAGAAAGTGGACTTGCTCTATGATTTTACAAGGACTGAGGTAAGGTTGACCAGTCTGTAGTAATCCGGATCCCCCTTTTCCCCCTTTCTTAAAGATGGGCTCTATATTTGCCCTTTTCTAATCGTCCAGGACCTCTCCCAACCACCATGAGTTTTCAAAGATAATGGCCGGTGGCTCTGCAGTCACATTGGCCAACTCCCTCAGCACCCTTGGGTATGCTGCACCTGGCCCCATGGATTTATACAGGTCCAGCTTTTCTAAATAGTCCCTAACCTGTTTTTTCACCACTGACAGCTGATCACCTTCTCCCCAAACTGTGCTGCCAAGTGCAGCAGTCTGGGAGCTGACCTTGCCTGTGCAGATTGAGGTAAAAAAGGCATTGAGTACTTCAGCCTTTTCTACATCATTTGTCACTAGGTTGCCTTCCCCATTCAGTAAGGGGCCCATGCTTTCCCTAATCCTCCTCCTGCTTGTGACATACTTGTAGAAACCCTTCTTGTTCCCTTTTATATCCCTTGCTAGGTGCAACTCCAGTTGCACTTTGGCCTTCCTGATTTCATCCCTGCATGCCTGAGCAATACTCTTCTAATCCTCTCTAGTTCTTTGTCCAAGTTTCTATCTGTTGTAAGCTTCCTGTTTCTGATCAGTGGGTCAAGAAGAGCACGGCCTCTAGTTGGCTTCTCCAACACTTGCACCAGGAAGTTGTCCCCAACTGCAAACAGTAAAAATACTATATTTATTCGGATACATACACCTCCAAATAATATGGGCACTTCAGTTTGGGAAGGCAGGGTGCAAAAAAAATCTTTTTTCCAGAATTTTACTTGCCATATCACAGGCTTGCTATGGCTGAATGCTGGCCACATGCAGAAATGACAGAGTCTACTCTTCAGCATCACTTACCCTCCAGCTCCACACACCTTCCTGCTCAGCCAGAAGCTGCTGCCAGTTCAGTGATGGCTATGACCTGTAGCCATAGGCAACGTGTGCCTTCCAAGGCTGGCGGGGTATGGTTACCACCTGTAGGTGGTGGTGGCAGTGTCAGCGGCAGGGGCATGGTGGCAGTGAGCAGGGACCACCTGCAGGTGGCCACGCTGATGTTGGTGGCGAGGGCGGGCCGAGCAGGGACCATCCGCGCCTCGGTGGTAGGGGGTCACCCCCTGGCCAGACGCCAAGCCCAGAAGTGCTAGCAGCACGTGCACCCCCTACACATCACTTATGCCGATAGTTGATGCATGGATGCCACCCTTTGTGCATGCAGTCAGGAAGGGAGGAGAGCTCCCGGCAGCCATTCCAGCATCCCTATGTTTCCATTCTGGATTGGAAATCAGTTTGCTTGTTTGCTTTAAATGAACCCCGCCAATTTTGTAGGAACCCCTGCCCAATTTGGGAGAAGCAGGGAATGGTGTATATAGTATGCAAGTAAACATGGTATGTAAATAAAACCCAACAGCACATAAAAAACTCCAAGTGCATGTTGATAATAGGGAGGGCTGCTTATGTAAAGAGTCCATAACAGTCCAAATGACAATGTAGTCGGGAACAACACAGGCATTACTTTTTATTATTGATCTTTTAAAGTCATTAATGTAGGGGAAGATGCATCATTCTTTTCACGTAGCATCTTCCCATCTGAATATTGTTTCTTTTCCTTTTTTTAATTTTATTGGTCACTATGGTCCTAGAATATAGTTTTCTACATAGAATGAGTCAAGGAATTTACCTAACTTTTGTCATTTATTTTTGTTTCATAGGAGATGACACTTTGAAAACATGGGATATCAGACAATTTAAAAAGCCTCTTCATTCAGTTGATGGCCTGTCCACCTTTTTCCCAATGTAAGTGCATTATTTATTTCCCACTGCTGTAAGAGCAGTACAACAAGCAGCAGCTGCTACTTTCTGCTGGATGGAAAACATGTCCTCCATCAAGAGGTTACTGCTCCCATGATTTCTCCCTCTGTCAGCACTGTGTAGAGGAGCTTTGGGACTCAGATGATGCCCCTGTCTCCTCTGTGGGTTTATCAAAGTGGGGAATTCAAAAAAGAATCATCCTGAGACCCTTCACTGGTAGGAGCATGATAGATATAAAGAGCATATATCCCACTTACTTCCTGTCAGCTACCTAGGTGAGTCAGAACCACATGCTGGCATAATTGGCTTGCCTTTGTGGCCCTTTTTAATGTCTTTTTTGTTTTCGTTACTTAGGATATAAGAGCTACCCCTCTTGAGGGGTTGATTCCTGTCTCAGACTCTTTAATCCCCAGTGCCTCTTCTGCTTAGGAACAGATTATATTTTCAACACTTAAAGTATCTGTTGGTCTTTTCAGTGGAGGATGAGGAACAAGAATTAAACCTCTGTATTTTCCTCCTGGACAAGTCTTCAAAATGTTCATATAATCCAGGAGCAAAATCCTCTAGACCGCAACATTGCTCACCTAGATCCCACTGCTTTTTCCCATGGCCTTTCTTCTTTCATAGATTCATAGACACTAGGGCTGGAAGGGACCTCGGAAGATCTTTGAGTCCAGCCCCCTGCCCCAGGGGTAGGAAGTCAGCAGGGATCATAGGATCCCAGCAAGATAAACATCCAAATGTCTCTTAAAGGCATTCAAAGTAGGTGCTTGAACCATCTCCGGTGGCAGTCTATTCCAAACCATGGGGGCTGGGACAGTAAAGTACTTCCTTATGTCCAGCCTGAAACAGTCACAGAGGAGTTTGTGACTGTGACTGTTCGACCTTGCCATCCCCTGGGGTGCTCTGGTGAACAGATGTTCCCCCAGATCCTGATGAGCACCCCTGATAAACTTATAGGTGGCCACCAGATCACCCCTGAGCCTGCGCTTTTCCAGGCTGAAGAGTCCCATGGCTCTCAGCCTTTCATCATAAGGTCTGTTTTCCTGACCTCTGATCATGCGCATGGCTCTCCTCTGTACTTTCTCAAGCTTCTCCACATCCTTTTTGAATTGTGAAGCCTGGAGCCCAAAACTGGACACAGTACTCCAGCTGCGACCTCACCAAGGCCGAGTACAATGGGAGAATGACATCCTGGGAGTTGCTTGAGAAGCACCTATGGATGCAAGCCAGCGTTTTGCTTGTTTTACTAGCTGTAGCATCATATGGAAGGCTCATGTTCATCTTGTGGTCAATCATGACCCCCAAATCCCTTTCGTCTGTAGTGCTAACCAACGTAGCACTGCCAAGCCTATAAGCATGCTGCAGGTTTTTCCTCCCAAGGTGGAGAA